CTGCTTTCCTTAATTAACTGTAAAATCCATTATTGAGAGACACAAAGCAAATCTCGTCCCTACATCACCGCTCGAGGCCCCAGGGAGCGAGTGACCGGGGCTGGAAATCGATCCTGTTCTCTGCACGGCAGAACTCTGCCATGAGACCAGCAGAACGGGCCACCTCCCTACTTTTATACCAGTGCTCAAGAGAAACAAATTAATCAGAACATTAAGAGTCTCAGTTTTAAAACTGACGGAAGGAAAAAGACTCCAGGAAACTTGTTTGTTGTTCTTTTTGCCCTTATACTTCTGTGACTCCCCTTTTTTCCTACTAGAACTTCGAAGAGTATCTCATTTCTCCGACTTACACCCTCACTCTCCTTGCAGTATGGCTGTCTCCTTCACAGAGAGTCTCGGGCACTTTTTGGAGCTGTGTTTTTGGTATGAGAAAGCACTGAGGTATTGACAAAGAGGGATTCCTTTTGTCCGCTTCCAGGGGCTCCCCCATCTCCTTATCCACCATTGTCCCCATCCAAGTAGTGGAATCGGGATTTATACTTCAGTCCCTGTGAAGGAGCATCCAGGACTTTGAAGGAAAGTATTCTGGGTTCTCCATTCCTGGAAATCCCCGACAAATCCAGTATTTTGGCTGTCCTGAGAAGAAATACTTTCCTGACTAGGGCCTAAATTAGATGAAATATCAACGTGAAGATTTTCTTGTTATGATTACAATTTGTTTATGGTGGTGGATGTCTCTTGTACTATTTCTGCATGATGTCCATCCCTATCTGTCACAACCTCAGTGCACCTCTATCTATACCTTTGGAAAGATAATTGGGTTATCTGCAGGCCATGCATAGGATGTGCTGTAGAAAACGTTTTTGAGGTTTCACCTGCCATGAGTAATATTCTTAAGTTTAAATATCGAGATTGTAGCATCTGTCGTGAACAGCTTGTTCAGCCATAGATCATCTTTTTTTAGAAGAAATGAAAAATTCCTCCCCAAAAGTTGAAACCCTTGTCCTTTAACCAACAACAAAACCACTCTCCTCTCCCTGAGTACTCTGCAGTTGCGTTTACAGTCGCTATTGGCACTACTGTGTAATGGAAATGTATATCCCCAGTAATTTAATATGATCAGTGAAAGTTTTTGTAAATCAAAGTGTTTTATTCTCAGAGAATCGCTTAAAATACTGCTGAACTGTATGGTGAAATACATTCTCTGCTATAGGGGGTTTTCTTCATTTTTGTATTGATTTTTAGGAGCTTTAGAGTTAAACCATGCCAGAAGTGTTGCTGAGATGAATCACTATTATCCAAAGGCCACCAGCCTCTCTGCCGACTGACAGAAGGATAATTCCGCATGGATCAAATAAATACAGATGTGTAGTAATTAGTTCTATTCCCAGTGAGCCCATTTCCAACACACTAAAGATGTGCACGATTATGGAGCCTCACCCCAACAGCTTTTATCAATTTAAACTGCTAAGCTACAGGATAGGTCATAACCCAGCCTGCTATTAATAATGTATTTATTGTGTGCAACATTATAAATTAGGTTCATGGAATAGAAAAGAACACCTTTTAACAAGAATAATGTTATCTTTGTACAGAAGCATCACATGTGCCTAGCCACTCAGCTGAAGTACAGTCCCAAGACAATCAAAAGAATAAAAATTCTCATCCAGAGCAGAGATGCCTACATTGTTGGAGGGGTTCCCCACAAAGATGATTTAGCGGTGGCTGACATGTTAAATGTGCCTATATTAGGCTCGGCGCCAGAAGTGGCTCATGTCTATAGTACCAAGTCTGGAAGTAAACGAATTTTTGCCAGTGCTTGCGTGCCAACCCCTCCTGGAGAATCCGACATCTACAACGATGAGCAGGTAAGCAGGACGTGGTCTGGGATGTGTCAACGTGCAGATGCCTGTTTTCACTTGATCGGCTGCAAACTTTGTACGATTGCAATGGTTGTATTGATTAGACCCGAACTGGGTTTGCTTAAATCATGTGTGAGCTTGGGTTCTTTTTTGGCTCTGACCAATTAAATGCAATTTGTATCCTAGTCAGGGAGTAATGGTCTTTCTTGAGACTATATAAGGGTGTTTGGTCCAGTTATTTCAAACGGTTTGTGTTGCCGCTCCATGGATGAAGTCAAGGCCTCAATAAGATTAACAGGAATTTTACCAGTGACTGAATATAGAACAGGGATTTCTGGGGAAAAAATAAGTATTTGATGAAGGGAAAATTTCTTCCACTTAGGAAGTCAGTCTATTCAAATTTGAAATTCACTCAGGATATCTGCAACTGAAGTTTTACCTTGTATCCGGCTTATCATTGCTGAATTCACTTATCTTGTTAGCATGAACAGTAAGGAAAGGAAAAGATATTGCTAAACTAAAATGACAAGGCACAAGAATTTTCTGTACTCTGTTCTGTTTACATGTGTTTATTTGGCATTCAGTGCCTCAGTATTTCGTTCTATAGGCTGATTTTGCAATTTGCAATGATATGGCTAAGTATGATCCATACTGATTTTTTTAAAAAAATATTTTGGTGGTGCTACATCTCATCCAGGGGAAATAATCAGTGCCATGGTTTGTAGGTATTCCTACTTCTTAGAGAGGCTTTTCACGTCGCTTTGCTTTTTATTAATCACCTTTAACACTGAAGACAATCGAAGCTACACAACTACATTGCAACTTCTATAGTAGATGAAATAAATACATGATCAATGATCTGAAAAACAGCTGTTTGATTTATTGTTAAATAATTTATGAGAATCTAATACTTGTGATTCATACTACAGTGTTATGGAAGTCCTACTTCTGTTGTTTGCGTGTATGAAATATTGACGTTTTGGGTTAAATAATCAAAGCAAGGTGATGCTATGTTAAAGCGAAGCACAATTCAATTTTCGCTTAAAGATAGCACATAATTCTTTACGATTGGTACAGTCCTTACAATATTATTGATCTTTTTCATTACTGTAGGGGAGTCATCAAGAAAAACACATTTATGTGACTCTCAAAAGCCACAAATAATAGCATCTGGAAAACACATGTAATTGTATTTTAGGTTAACATTAAAAAAAGAAACAAAAGTCCCCAAAATTACTGTGTAAAAAGGCTCTAGCCAGTGCAACAAGATCTGATAATACTTTTACCAGGTTCAAAGGCATTTGCAGTTTCTGAGAAGCTAATTGCATCCTACACCAGCTGGGCAAAAGGCATTTTAAAGCCATTTAAATCTGTGTACATACACAAATAAATAATTAGCATTTTTATATAGCCTGCCTGGTAACTTCTTTGTACATTTATAACCGTGTAACATACTCTCCAGTAGGAAAATTTCACAGATGTTTTGGCTGGTGTTAGAATCTGACACAATTGTTTCTCAGATTTTGCAAATAGTGTAGTCCATCCCATGTTGTTCCCCTCACAAACATTTATTTTTTTTTACAGTCCTGATTATCCAAAGCCTAAGATCCTGATCAGACAAAAAAGCCTGGACAGGCAAATTTTTCTCCGCAGAATACAGCTTCACCAACTGCCAAAGGCGCTCAGCTGAGGTTTGGTAGTCTGCACAAGTGGACTCAAGTACAGGATGAAGGCCGTAGATTCTTTGTCAAAAAATGTTCAAGGTTGCTTTTGCTACGTATCCAAGAAAACTGTAACAACACAAGCGTCTCTAAGAAAAATAAACCATGTTTAGAAAATAAATTTCAGGTCCAAATATTTGAGAACTGGAAGTCTGTATCGAGAAACAATTTAATCTTGTCATAGCACAAAATATCTTTGTCTCATTGCTCCACAGATGATCAGTGCTCTCAGCCAGCTCATCATGGACAATATGGAAGTGCGGCGTTGGTTGTTTAAAGTGAATGATGAATCTGGAGGAAATGGCACTGCCTATTGTGATATTATTTCGCATTTGAAATGCTACCACTGGCTTCAAAAGGAACGTCAGAGACACAGCCCTGAGATATGGAGTAAGAAGTGGGCACGAGTAAGTAACAAAGGAGGAGGGTGTCTTGCTTGTTGTCATGGCTTCTTAATAGGCCCTAGGGTTCTTCCTCACAGTGAATCTTTTCTCTGAGCTTTCATTTTAAGACTCTGGTAAGAGTTGATACTACAGAGTCCAGACTAGCTTGTACAAAGTGATAAGTAACAGTAATTCAAATAATACAGTTAAATATTCCAAAATTAAAATGAATGCCTAGCATCCAACTAGGGAATAAGTTGGGTGTCATAACAGTTCTTTCACATGTGATAATGTGCAGATTTTACGTAGCTCTTTTTATCCAAAGCAAGGACGTGTATAAATGAAAGTATATAGGCGGCAGAGCCCTGTATCTACATAGAAACTTGGACTTATTGGAACAAAGTGTTGGACTAATATAGTTGAACAATACTAATCAATTTGAAACCACATACAAACTGATCACTTCTTAATCTGGCTTTCTAAGGATTATCTTTTCTGTACGTCTTTCCTCGCTAATAACTTTTAAACCTGTTAGCTATTTTCAGCTGTATGAGACAGAACACTTAAGGTCTCAAAGACCATTAATCTCAGAATCATAGAGTCGTTTAGGTTGGAAAAGACCTTTAAGATCATCAAGTCCAACCGTTAACCTAACCTTCCATTAAGACTCCTGCACGTTTCATTCCAGTGGGTGTTTAGGTAAGGAGAGAGACCTTATAAATGCTTAACCGAGGGAAACAGTATAGCATGAGCTCCTGCACTAGTAGATTCCTACGAATCTGCATGATTGAGAGAGGCTGTAAGATGATACATTTCAACCGCAGAAAAATCCATATGAAACCAGGCTTCATTAGTTCTGGCATTCCGAGAACTATTTGTAGTTTAAATATTCATTGGTATTTAAATGTGTTAATTTCAATAAGCATTTGATATTTCCGTATATTGTGCCAAATTCATTCCTAATGTAATGGTTTTAAAGCCAGAAGGAATGTATCCAGAAAGAATTGTTTAATTTACATAAACTACTCATTACAGCTCTTTTGATTTTTTTTTAATTCAATCAAAACTGTTTCAAAATTTTTGTTTGATTGAATTATATTGTATATTAAAATTTCAAATTGTGCTGATTACAGTTCTGTTGCATTTGACAAGTACAAAATAATTCCACATTATAAAATAGAGCTTTATCGTTTAAAGCTGAAGGGCTAATGCCTCTCATCTGCTAAAGCTCCGTCACTCCGCGCAAGTCAAGCCATATCAAGGAGAGCACGGGAGAGCTGTCCCAGCGGAAGCGTTGCCTGGGACACAAAGCGAACAGCCAGATCCCGCTCCCACCAGCGCAGTCGTTGGGGCGGAAGACAAGATTCACCAAGTCTAGTTCTTTGCTGGAATAAATTCCCTATATAAGCAGTATTACCTAGCGTTAGTATTAGCCTTCCTGTTTCTGTGCCTTTTTAATTCTTTCATGGCTAAGGACTCTGCACTTTGGTGGCTTTGGTGTTTCCCTTTTACACTGCATTTACGTTGAGCTTTGATGCCACCAGGAATCGACCCGTTAGAAGCCCTTAAACAAAAACATTTGTTGGAAGTTGGAAAACACGTACAGAATAACCGATCTGAGCTCATTTCCTGAAGTCAGCAGAAAAGCTTCCATAAATCCAGACCAGTATTAAGGTGGGCTTTGGCAAAGTGTGGCGCTTGCTGCCATTTTGAAGGTCTTGTTTGGATATGCGTGTTCAAATTTTTCTGCCTTCTGAGTTTAGCTCTCTTTTGTAGAATGGGAGACCTTTTTTATATATAATGAATTGCAGTCTCCACTGAGTATTACCATTGAGAGCAGAGGATTAAAATCATCCTTTGTTAAGGAATACCATTGTAATGATACACATTTAAACATCAAAGCATTAGTTTATGAGCACAGGCATGCTTTAATGTCCTATTACAGTATGTAGACCTGTTTCTTTTGATAATGAAGACATTGTGTCATCGGCATAGGCTTGCCACATACAAAACGTATGCTGGCAGGTTATTAAAAAATTCAGCTTCTTGATGAAAGACTATCCTGCAGGCTAAGAGTACAGTGAAAAGACTCTCCATTCTGGTAGAATTATTAGAAATGAGAATATGACTGTAAGCACTAAATTATGTTAATACTTACAAATAGCATCATTTGCATAGCAGTTTAAGACACGATCCCCAGATTTTCCTCATTGGTATGTAGCAGGCAACAGATTAAAAATAATGCAGTTTGGGAGTTTGAACTGTGTAAAAAATCTATTCCATCTAAAAATGAGACTGATTTTAGATTCCTCGCTTCAATCATAACATTGGGCAAACAAAAGTGCAGGGCAGGATTATCGATGTATTTTACCTTGTTAACTTAATGCAGCATCTGAGTTATCTGAACAATTACTTTGCTACTGCATAAAGGGTAGAACTCACAAACTATGCTGAATGTCTCTGTAAGGCCTTCGTCCTACTGTGCACCGCTGAAGTCTGTCAGCGTATAAAAAATGTCATCGTGAGGCCCAGATGCTAATGATATTCAGTATCAGGAGAACTCCTGCCTCCGCAAGTGCACGTTTGGCAATCGTGAGGCTGTTTGTGGAGACACTCTCCAGCGTGAAAAAGAATCAGGATCTGGCCCCAGTTGCATGCAAAAGCATTAGTAAGTACTGAGACACCTTAGCAGCTTAATTGTATCTTGCAATGTGAATCACTACTGTAGGGAGCAAATAAATAGAGAGATTTTTAACTGTTCAATGTATTCATGTAAGGCACATGTTTTACGTGAAATGCTCTTATGCCATTCTATCATGATTTTCCTAGCTATTTTCTGTACAAATTCAAGCTTTAGTTAGTCTGTGCATAGCAAAAAATGTGGTTCTGCTACTACTAGAAAAAACAGTAAGTGAATAAGGAAGTATAAAAAATAATTGAAAAACCAATAGGACAATTGTACAAGGGCCTGTTTGGAATATCTTTAGATATCCATAATACTTAATAATATATGGTATTCCAAAGCGTGTTAAGAAGCTGGGGATCTCACTCCTGTTGAAAGTCAGCAGTTCTGGTTTTAGAAAATCTCACCTATGCTTATATGGACCCTTGCTGGGAGACTGTGTAAATTCATGCAAGAGAAAACTACTAGTAACTGTTATCGCTGACGTGGTCTCTGGCTTAGAGGGACTCTGAGCTGCAAATTGTTGGAGGTTGGGAGGGTGTCTGGGGAGTGGATACGCTGGCTCTGCTTTCATACTTTACCTGGCATCCACTCGTGACCACCGTCAGAGACAAGATTTGGGGCTAAGCAGACCTTACACAGCCATTCTTTCACGACCTTGAAGACGGATGCTCAGATGCCCACTCAGAATTCAAGCTGAAGTGCTCTGCAGAATATATATAATGCCTTTGGTTTGGTTTTGAACAGACACCAGGCTGTCAAAGTCTGCGATGCCTCCTGGTCTCTGACTTTGAATCTTTGGACTCAAATTGCCCCCTCAAACTCTCACAACAGTTGCAGCCCTCTTCCCTGTTAGAGGAAGGAGAACATGGCCCTCCCGCTAGTATTGCCTTTTTTGTCCTTTTAACACTCCCCCTTTTATGTAAAATAACACAGGAGTGTGCCCTGTCGTATAACTATAGAACTCTAAATAACATCTAAATCACTAGATGAAATTAATAGTCAAATTAATTTTAGAATTAACTTTTATTACACGGTGACTCTTAACCTCCAGGACCAGCAATGTGATGTGAGTTTATCTATCAGCAATCCTAAAGATAACAAAGGTCAGACTGAAGACAAAAAAAAGGATAAATGTGGGGATAAAGAAGAAAAGAGCTGAAAATAAAAGAATAGAAGTAGACGCAGAAAAACAAGCCACAAATATTCCTCAGTAAGCCATTATAATTGGCCATAGCTACACAGCCACTTCAGAACTCTGCATTAGGTATCTGTTGTAGAAGAAAAAAAACTATTTAATGAGCTTGGGCAGCCTACTGGTTTAAGTTTTAGAGTGTTTGAATCTTACTGCCTCCAGCTGTGTCACAGTGTTTTGTCACGGTTTCTTTTCCTTCTAGGCTGTATCTTGGTTAATTCACTAAAATGTGTGAGAGGAAATCAAAATCTTTTCAAAAGCTGACAAACCCGGAAAATCCAACTTGTGGTCTGAGTTGCCTAAAGCAATACTCAGGCACTGGTTGCTGGATTTTGCATTGATGGCTATTGGAAAATTACAGTTTCGAAGGCTGAGAGAAAATGCTGCAAAATGCTGCCTGTTCCTTTAAGTTTTCTTTGATCAACTTTCAAGAGTCCTGTAATAAGTAATTAGATAAAACTTTGCGATTTTCTAAAAATCAGGGATAGCGATGAGGTTTTTAACTGGGTGAGCGAATCGCCTTCGCTGTAAGAAACCTGAAGCTTACATAGCGCATCTTGAGGAATTCAGAGCAAAGAGGATCTGTTTAAAACAGGTCAGAATGCACCCGCCTGTGATACCGTCAAAGACGGAATTTTAGACACGTGGCATTGCCAGCACACCATCGCTTCTGGCTGCCTTTGAACACCATATTGCTTCCTAACGCGGCTTTTTTCCTGTCTGCTGCCCATTCTCATTCCCACCACCCTGATCACCTTTTGTAACATCACCCACTTTCTTCTAGGGCAATGCTACAAATATTATGGAAACCGGAATAAATTGCAAGGAATTGAATCGGTCTTAGCATAACACCTAACATCTACGGAGGGGGTTCTTAAGCAAATCATCTTTGCCACTGCTCTTATTGTACGCAGGCAATTGCAGGTGTGATAATTTTTTCAGCCTGAAGAGGGCCAGAAGCATTGACAGCCACGCAGAAGATGCTTTCACAGCATTTTGACAGGCTTTTAAAATTCCTTCTTAACTGATGATCTGATGTTTAATAGGAAAAGAGAAAGAACCCAAAGAGTTAAGGACTTGATTACTGATAAAGCAATAGGATTGCAGGTTGTTTCCCAGTGTGGGCAGTGCTCTGACCACAATACA